TGATATAATTTTTAAATATTTCTTATACTTTTTCATAGTTTTTATCTTTTAATGTATTATTTCAAGTTTGAAACTTAAAATTCTGAATGGTCCAATAAAGATTCTAGTCCACAGATATTGGTAATTATAATAAAATTTAAATCAAAATCAAATTAATACTAGTGCAAAAAGGAAATCAATACAACACTAAGAATGACAATAATATTGAATATTTGTTCTTTAGTTTTACATTGATTTAGACAATTAAAATACATAATCTAATTTTAATTTCCTTTAATAGTTAGTCATGTAACTAATACTTTTAAACTTATTTTAGCATGATTTAAGACTTTTAAATTATAATCATTTCCATTATAACTTGTTAATTTGCAATATTTGTTTTATGCGATTTCATTATTATTATTTTTGTTGGATATTTTAGTGTCATTAATCATATTATATTTTTTGTTATTTTTTTAAGAAACACCTTAGATAGTTGTATTTTGGTAGGACTAAGAATATTTGAAGTACAAATAAATTATATGTTTGTATGAATACTTTACCGGAAAAACTCGAAACAATCCGAAAATTCAAAAAACCCAAAAAAATCCAAAAAAAACCCGAGGTTGAAAAACCCGTGTTTTATTGGTTTGATTTGGTTTATAAATTTAAAAATCCGACACAAATGATTTGATTTGATATTTGAAAAACCCGAACCAACCCGGCCATGTACACCCCTAGTGACACATTTGAGGTAATTACTTTCACAGAGAGTTTGATCTCTCCAAAATCACTTTTTTAATATATTTAATTATGTATTGATTGAGACATTTTTATGTTCATCATGTAACAAACTTTTGATTTTATCAAGTTTATGATGCCATCTGACTGAATATGCAATTGTGGCATTTATCCCAAATTGTGAAACAAAGAGTAGTGTTCCGAGACTGATTCACTCTTAATTCGTTAAATTTCACATGCCAAGAGCACAATCTGCATCAATTATATCCGCATAATTTATCTCTACACCATACATAACATTGGTGTACATAAATATTTACATGTATTTAAACTTTATAAAATAAAATATGGAACTTACATGGATCTCACTAGTTTAGATACTTAGATACCCTCTAATTTGCAATATTATGCATCATACTATACTTTGGTGCCTCCAAATACGTGTAGATTGGTATTTTTAGTTTCAAGGGTATAAATGAATCAAAATGTGAAGATTATTTTTAAATTAAAAAGTTGAGTAGAAGAGTATTTTTAGATCAAAAAGGTGAGTAGAAGGATATTTTTAGATCAAAAGATGGATGAAGGGTATTTTTAGACAAAAAAGGTGAGTAAAAAGGTATTTTTAGACTAGATGATGGATGAAAGGTATTTTTAGACTTTTACCTGTATATAGTTCAGAGGTATTTTTTATGTTTGTAACATCAAAATGGTACTTAATTCTTTTTTCCAAATTTGCCCTTTAACATATTTCTAATTCAATATACAAATTTAATCATGATTATGTCAATCTAATCTGAAAAGCGAGAAAACTATAATTAAACGTATTTTGGTTAAAACTCTTCTTAACTTTTAGGAGTGAGTCAACCAATTATTTGGACCAAAGGAATGATATATTAAAAAGATGAAATAACGAAAAAAATATTTATTCAGACAATTTTTTTAATCTAAAATAATCTAAATATTATTTATTATTAAAAAAAATAGACATTCGGTCTTCCTTCATGGTTCACTCTTTTCCGTAAAGCAAAGAGTTTGTCTGGCTTTCTATACAACATCAAGTCCTAAACTCATTAGGGCACTAAAAGATAAAAAGAAGACTAATTTTTTAATTATTTAATTGGCAATCACATAAAGTCATAAACCATGTCTAGATAGGATCAGTACTCGACTAATCAATTTTCCCATTAGTAATTGGTAAGTTAATTTGAGTTAAATCCATATCCTACTCAAATAATACTAATTAAGATCATTCTATATATTTTGCTCTACACACAGTAAGACACATATTTCTTATTGACAAAAGCAAATTCAGTTAATATGGCGATGACAAATTTATTTGAAGAACTTGATAGTTTCACCATGTGGTATAATATGGAGAAGTGCAGATGTGAGTCTTGTCAACAACGGTTCTATTCACAACTACGTCAACATATATCCAATTTACAACAAATTCAACATCAATTCGATTCCTATTCCAATTCATGTAGAATTTTGAAGAATTCTCCAAACTTGTTATCTTTTCTTGAAGTTGATAATTCCATTTCTTTGCACTGTGATCGAAATTTGAAGCAATACATGAAATTCGAATATGGTAGTTCCTTTTTTGAAAATTTTGACAGCTTCAAATCAAATATGGTGATAGAAAATTTATTTGAAGAATTTGGTAGTTTCACTCTGCGGTATAATATGGAGAAGTGCAGATGCAAGTCTTGTCAACACTGGTCCTATTCACAACTACGTCAACATGAATCCAATTTACAACAACTTTAACGTCAATCCGATTCCTATTCCTAGCTATTCGTATAGAATTTTGAAAAAATTCTCCAAACTTGTTATTTTTTCTTGAAGTCGATAACTCCTTCTTTATGCCCTGGAATCGGAATGGGAATTCGAAGCAATCCATAAGCTTCGAATATGGTAGTTCTTTTTTTGAAAACTTCGACAGCTTCAAATCAAATATGTTCTAGATAAATAGTTCACTCGTTAATTTTTCTTCTTTTAGATATGGTTGTTTGGAGAAATCGTTTTGGTTCTGTTATTTTTCATAATATATAGCTAATTGTAATCATCTATGTCGTATACAATTGCATTAATAATAATAGAAAGTTTTGGGTAGACAGGGTCGTCTTAACCACTAGGCCACTAAAGCCAACACTTGGGGCCCCATTTTATAAAAAAGTACTTATTAAAAAAATTATATTAATTTTTTGGGGGAAAAAAACGTGTAAGAGGTTTTATAATTTTTCTTGAAAAATTGTTATTGTTGATATTCTTAAGTATATGTAAATTGTTTTAATTATTATTAAAATTTATTCAATTTTAATATGTCAACTAGAAAACATGATTTCGATTTTGCAAAAGGAGATAAAACTTGAAGAATTAAATAAATCTTAAAAAAGAGCCATTGATAGTTTTTAACAAATAATAAATATTTCGAATAAAAAAATATTGGAGGATGTTCTTCAAATGAAAAAGTCACCAACAGAATTGATTTAGATGATAATAATATCCAAGAATAAAATCTAGAAGAAGTTGGTGAAAATGTGACATTGTTCCAGATATCAAGAACTCCTAAATAATTTAAATAGTTGCATCCCTAAAAATATATATGATCCAAGTAAATGAATAATGTAGATAAAAAATTGAGAGATCTATTAGTAGAAAAGGGACCATTTAGAATGACTGATATAATTTTTTCACAAGATAAATACGTACGATATTTTTCTACAACACAATATATTCAAAAATTGGTACACGGAGAAAAGCATGAAAGAAAATGATTAATCTACTCTAAAGATTTGGATAAAAAAAAATTTGTTTTTGTCGTAAATTATTTAGCACAACTTCTATTATTTGTAATAGTAAACTAACTAGTGAAGGTAGGAATGAGTGGAGAAATCTTAGTGTTATGTTCAAAGTACATGAAGTAAGAATGAACATATTATTAATAATATGAGCTCGTGTATTGATTTAGAAATGAAATTGCATTAAAAAACAATTA